CTAGAATTCAATCAGTCTAAACGTCCAACCACAGCAGAAAGGGTTAAGTGAATCCGGTACAATTCAATGGGATTCAGTGAAGTTATTAAAAACTGCAAATGATCATGTGAATAGATATATGAATATGAAACAATTTTAAATACAACAAACCCCACCCCCCGAAACAAGGAGAGCGCTGCAAAACAGATCAAACGAAACATATAAGATGACAATCATGAGTCAAGGCCCATTCCTGGTGACATCCTCCCACATGTGGGGAGAAGTCAAGTTAAAGCATCAGAAACTGACATAGACATGGGCTGAGGTTTTAAATTCTTCTAGTAGATCTCAAACTGACCAATCAAGAATGCTCCAGGCTTTATCTATTCTGATATTTCTAGAGCTCAGATCATTTAATTCCAGAAAAACATACTCAGAACAAGATAGGATTAGCCCCAGTATTTTTTGAATACATCCTTTTGGTTTTTCCTTTCATTGTGTGGATTAAGGAATGGAGTGTACAAACATCTGCAATTTCAGCTCAAGACTCTAAGCCATTGTTCCCAATGAAACACATAAACGACTAAAAGTACAATTGGAGCGCTGCCAGTGAGAGTCTGGTTTGTGGGCAGCCCTTGTAAGGATCACCAATCTGACCACTGAGCATGGCCTGGGCAGTTATGAGACACCAGGTAGGCAGTGGCTACATGCCCTGCTGGATATCCTAAGACCATGTGAGGTCCATTTCAGCCATACTGTGCTCTATAATTACCACCGAGGAGTGATCATGAATTAAAATATTTTGGCAGTAGATAATTAATTAATTTTGTAAAAAAATTTTTGCAGTATTGGCAATTGACCGCAGGGTCTTTACATGCTAGGCAAGCATTCTATCACTGAGATACCTCCTCAGCCCTTTTTATTTTGAAGCAGGGCCTGGAGCTTGCGTTCCTCCTAAGTGTTCTGTGTAGTTGGAATTATAAGTGTGTACCACACACCTGGCTAAGCTATGACCATTTTCCAGGAATTGAACTTAGGGGCACTCAACCACTGCACCACTTCCCCAGCCCTATTTTGTATTTTATTTAGAGACAGGGCCTCACTGAGTTGCTTAGCACCTCAAGTTGCTGAGGCTAGCTTTGAACTCATAAGAGACCTATGATAAGGTGGCCTGAGGTAAAAGCACTGCCCTTCTCTCAACCTCAGATTCACATTCATATCATGATGGCCAGGCAAGATCACTTCTAATAGAACCTTTTCCTGCACTGAAAGCAGGGTATCTAAAATAGTCAAGAGAGATTTCCTCCAAAAGACCTGTTTTCTTCCCCAATCCCTCAGCTGGCTCAGATTGAGTCTCAGAATGCAGGCTGTCTGTCACTGTCCCCTAAGGGTAGACTTGCTCCTCATCTCACTAGCCCCACTGGTACTGGGCCAGGGAACTCTGCCCTTGGTAATCTACATCCTGGCTTCTCCTTCCCCAGAGTAACCACATGTACACACTATCTCGGGAAAGAAAGACCCTTAGCCAGATTCCTGGTCTAATCAGAAAAATTGGTGAGCTCTGTTGTCTATCAGTTAAACTCATGGTAATATCCCCATCCTTCTCTCTAAAGAAATGCATGGTCTATGTTCTGCAAGTTAGGATGGTAGGATTTTAAGAATTAAAAAAAAAAAAAGAGCTGAGCACGGTGTACACACCTTGTAATCCCAGAAGCTTGGGAGGCTCAGGCAGGAGAGTCCCAAGTTCAAAGCCAGCCTCAGCAAAAGTGAGGCACTGAGCAACTCAAGTCAGACCCTGTCTCTAAATAAAATACAAAATAGGGTTGGGGATGTGGCTCAGTGGTGGAGTGCCCCTGAGTTCAATCCCCAGTACGCCTCTCCCCAAAAATAAGAATAAAAAAAAAGAGAATTCTTAGTTTTTATTCTTTACTCTCCTTTGTCGCCGAAACTATCCAATCACTGACGGTTAGAAACAGAGACCCTACAAAATTCTACGACAAAGGTTGATTATATTGCTGGCAGAGTCTCAATTCCAGCTCTGCTAAGGATGGAAACCTTGGGTGGCCTTGTTTTGTACCACACAACCCCACACTCTGCTGTCCAGATAAGATTGCCAAGCAACAGGCTTGCCTGTAGCTGATCACGAGGCGTGGCCCTTAAAGATGAGCAGAGCCAATCAGATAATTTCTCCTAGGATTCTGACTTAGAAAATATCAAGACAATGAGGTGGTGGGCAATGGAGTTACTGCTGAAATGTCTGGAGGCCGATGGGTACGGGGAGAGGCCTTGACATGCAAGATGAAGGCAGAAATGTCAAGAAGGCAGAAGCAGAGTTGGAGAAAAAAGATGGAGCAGAAGCTGAGGACACCTTCCAGGAGCCAGACAACAGGGCAGAGCCACTTCAGTGGTGGCACATCAGACTGAAAATGCACAAACTCCCACCTCGAGGAGGCCCCTCCTGCTGCCTTGGATCATGAGCCTCCTTCTAGCCCCTTCCTCATTAAGATCCAGTTCTCCTGTGGTAGCCACCCAATCCTTGGTCTGACCGTTCTGCTTTTTCAGTTATTGCCTAAGTTCATTTTTTAAAAAATATTTTTAGTTTTTAGTTGTAGATGGACAAAATAAAAATTTTATGTATTTATTTATTTATTTTTATGTGGTGCTGAGGATCCAACCCAGTGCCTCACATCTGCTAGGCAGGCACTCGACCACTGAGCCACAACCCCAGCCCCTAAATTCATTCTTAAAACAGACCCCCACTCCTCGAATAATCTGAATAAGACTCTGCCTCTCTGAAACTCGCATCAATTAGGTGTGGGCTTTGTTGCTAGATGAGGATGTGAGGAGCCCTAGAAGCAGAGCAGCTTCCAGCAACAGCCAGGCTGTGGTGGCCTGTGGCTGCTTGGATGAACCCCAGGCAAGGCTGCTGCTGTTGAGGTTTGCTTGCCTCAGACATTCGACTTCCCCTGCCTTTCGGGAGTTTGTAGCAACAACCGGCCAGGGTCTTTCCTACCAAGCTGCAGTTCTCTTCATTTTTTAAGAAAATAACAGAGATTTCTTCCCTTGTTCCTCACATCCCTCTCCTGGGTTTCCTTCCTCTGCTCTGGCTGTGGGGATTCATTGTTCCTGGACCCCCTGACAGGGATGGATGAAAGGGACTAAAAATTTAGCTCTGCAGTCATTTCCTTGGGTTTCTGAAAAGCCCTCCCTCTCTCTTAATTAACAGCCTCAGCTTCCTCCCTTCAGGCCCTTTCTTCTATACATTGCGAAATCCATTTTATCCCAGTCAGTAGAATCTCCCTTTTCCCCAGCTGGGAGAATTAGTCGACCTCACCCATCAAATTTCGACCAAATAATTCCTTCCCCTAACACATGCCACCTCTTCCCCCTTGGACGGTCCAGGGCCCATCTTTCCCATCTTCTCATTTTTTATTATTCGGACTCTCTGGCTCTCAGCCCTTCAGAACCTTTCTTTGTCTGCCTCACATGATGTCTAGTAATACGGTCTTCTCAGGCTTTTTTCTCTGTTTTGGGCTGGGATCCAATCTCAAATTGCCTTCCCTCAGTTACACTTTCTTACTTTTTTTTTTTTTTATTAAGTCTTTCTGAACTGCCCAGCACTGGCTTCTGTCTCCATATCTTACTTTTCCAAACAAAATGGATAAAAATTTGCTGCTTTCCTCATTTTCTTCTATTATAAATCACCTTGAAAAATCTCCTCGGTCAGATAACATCAACAAAACCCAGGCAACAAACACACAAACAGGTGGACCAAACACCATCAAAATTAAAAATCTCGGTACATCAAAGGACCCAATCAACAGAATGAAAAGATAACCAAGAGATGGGAGAAAATTTGTATTTGCAAATCATATATTAGATAAGGAGTTAATATTGGAATATGGAAAGAATTCTTACAACTCAACCATTAAAAAAAGTAACCCAATTTTAAACAGGGAAAAGGACTTGAATAGACACTTTTTCCATATAAGATACCCAAATGACCAACTGATAACAATTAGTACATGAAAAGATGCTCCAGTCACAGGTCATTAGGGTGATATGAGTCAAGACCACAATGAGACCCCACCTCACCTCATGTTCAGCAGAATGGCAACTATCAAAAAAGAAAAAATTAGTCCTGGGGAGGATGTGGAGGGACTGGAAGCCTTCTGCCCTGGTGTGGGAAACTAAAATGAGGCATCTGCTATGGAAAAATAGTATGGCCATTTCTCAAAAAAAAAAACAAAATTAAACCTAGAATCACCCACGTGATCCGGCAATGGGAGGTACACACTCAAAAGGATGAAAGCAGGGACGCAGAGATTTTGTATGTCCCCGTTCACAGCAGCATTACTAATCATAGCCCGAAGGTGGACGTGACCCAAGTGCCCATCTGCAGACGAGTGGATAAACAGAATGTGGTAAATATGTACAAGGAAATATTATTCAGCTTTATTATTTTAAAACAGGAAATTCTGGTGCATGCTACAGAAACAAGCCCATCATAAAAAGACAAATACTATATGGTTCCACTTATATGAGGTATCTACAGTGCTCAGATTCACAGAGACAGAAAGTAGGAACATTAGTTGCCAGGGGTTGTGGGCAGGAGGAACAGGAGCTGTTCTTTAATGGGTATGGAGTTTCTGTTTTGCAAGATGAAAAGAGTTCCGGAGGCTGGTTGCACGACAATCTGAATGTACTTAAAACTACTGAGCTACATTTTAACTACAGTTAACAATGATTACGATGGTAAATTTAAAATATGTGTATTTTATAGCTATTTTTCTTTTTTGTTCTCTCTTTCTTTCTTTTTCTTTCTTTTTTTTTTTTTAAGAACCCCTTGGTCACAACCTGGCTACTTCACAAATTCAACCACTTAATACACTGGGCAAGTTGTTTCATCTCTCCATGGTTCAATTTCCTCATCTGTAAATGAAACTAGTACCTACCTCAAAAGCCACTGTGGAGATTAAGTGAATGAACACATGCAAAGCGTTTCTAAGACTGCCAGGCACAATCGTCAGTAGGTTAGTTATCAGAGAGATAAGGATTAGGACTGGCAGTGTGCACGGCACCATCAGAAGGACTTCCTGTGTAGAGGCAAACAGTCTCCGACCCCCACCTCTGCTCTCTAGAAAGCTGAAATTTTACAGATGAGGAAACAGAAGCTCAGAGAGTTTGGGGTCACAAAGTCAGTGGGTGGCAGGAGAAAGATTAGATCTGGCTTCAGTGATGTGCAATTGCCTGATAAAGGAGCATGAAATCATCACACAGACCCCAGATCGAGTCAGAACTGGATCTTGTGTCCCCACCATGAACTGGGGGAGGGGGAGGCTGTGGTAGGGATGGCTGAGAAGCTCGGCTCTGCTCCAGGCCAACAACCCACCAGCTAAAGAATCCCAACTGTTTTCCTCCTCCTCCCACACCCATCCTGCCTCAGAGATGGGACCAGCTGGATCCAACAAAGAGAACACCAGCTGAGAGCTCTATCCAGAGGTCACCACCGCCAGGAGAAGATGGGAGAGCAAGGCTGAGAGAGGAGATGGCAGCGGCCTGTGGGCAGGGCATCTGTCATGGAGAACAGAAACCCAGGTAGGTGGCCTGAGCTCCAATTACCAGCTCCCACCTTGGACTTTCACTGGGACACTGGCCCCTGCTGATTTGGACTTTGGTTCTCATTCTCCTCAGGGCTGGAGGAAGTGCCAGCAGAAACCTTCTAATGACTGGCAGTTTGGTTTATTTTCTTTGCAATAAATGATTTCTCTTACCTATACCCCTCCAAGTTGTTTAAAATACCCATACTGGCCTCAAGGGGCCATGGTCACTTCCTTTCAGAAGGTGACAGAGGTAGGGGTTTAGTCCAGAGGAAAGAGTGCCCTGCAAGGGCTGCCATCTGCCCACAGGTGCCTTGCCCTGGGAGCTGCTCCCTGAAAGGCCATCTGCAAGCTCTAGAACACCCAGTTCAGGCCACAAGCAAGACCAAAGGCTTGGTGGCACCAGGGGTCCTGGGGCAAGAGTGATCCAGAAACAGACTTTGACATTTGGGCAAAGCTTTTTCTCCTAAACTTGGGTGGGGCACTGTAAACCCAAATTGAACTTGGGCTCTTTTCTGTGGAAAAAGCTTAAATAAAACCTCTCTCAGAGTAAAAAGTCTCCTTTCCTACTGATTGCTTTTTAATATTAAGCAAGTTATATATATTCACAGGAGAAAATAAGTTAGGAAAATGCAGACAGAAAAGTTAGAATCACTCCAAATCCTACCTTCCAGATTTAATTACTCCCCTCATGCTTTAGGTATACATTTCCAGACTTTGATTAATGCAAACATAAATATATATTTTAACATATGTACACATATAAATATATAAGTACTCTTTGAAAAAAAGTTTCAGGGGGCTCGGGGTGTGGCTCAGTGGTACAGCACTTGCCTAGCATGTGTGAGGCACTGGGTTCGATTCTCAGCACCACGTTTAAATCAATAAAGTCTACTGACAACTGAAATTTTTAAAAAAACGTTTCAGGTGATATACTATTAAACCATTGCACATCAACAATATAAAACTCCACTGTATTTTTAATGACATTATGGTATATTATGATGTACCGTAATTTATTTGACCAGTTTCTTCTTATTAGACATACTTTATTTCAAGGTTTTCACAAATGTGAACAATGCTGTTATCAACACAGAGTTAACACCCTTGTCCAAATATTTCTTAAGAATAAATTCCCAAATGTAAAATGGGTGGATCATTATGTTTTTATAATAGGCATCAATCTCCCTAATCAACCTACTTCACTGATATACAAGCTTCCTTAAAGAGACAGGTCTTGGTATTGTACTTATAATCTGAAGCAATCCTTGGCTTTTTTTTTTTCTTTTTGATGCAGTTCTCCATCATAAGTAGTTAAAAAAAAAAAAAAAAAAAACTCCTTAAGCTCCTTGTCTATGAGCTCATAAATGACTCACAGTGGCATTTAAAAGCTACACAATTTGTTTTGACTTTAGTAATCTGCTAAACAGAGACTCACATGACAGATGTACCGGGAAGGACAATTGCCATGCAAAATTTGTACAAGATTAGATTTAACTCCCCACTTTCTGAACGCCCCTCATCTTCTAACCTTTTATTTTTCTGCCCTCTGCCCTCCTTCCTTCCATCTTTCCTTTCTCTCCTCCTCTCTTTTTTCTTTTCTTTTAAAAGGGGTTTCCCTGTTGCCCAGTCTGGCCTTGAACTGCTGGGTTCAAGTGATCTTCCCCCTCAGCCTCCTAAGTAGCTGGGACCTCAGTGGTGCACCAAGATGCCAGCCTTTTTTTCTTCTAAAAATCACTTCTTTCTTCTCCATGTCCTCCCTTTTCTTTCTCCCCTCCTTCCTTCCTCCTCGCCTCTTCCTGAAGCAATGGAGACCCTGCCTCAGGGCAGACAGTGTCCGAGCTGGGTAAAGACTCAGCTGCACAGGCGTGTGGGCTGCCTGTGGAACCTTCCATCTTTGGCCTTAGGTTCTGCAGAAATGGGTTTGATTTCAAGGCTCCTGACTCATCCTCCCCTTTAATGATCCTGCAAAGGATCCATCCATGTTTGGTGAGGTTCATGTCGCTCGAGTTTCCACCAGAGGAGCTCTTCTGGACCCTGGGTAGTCTGGACACACTCTGGCAGTGGAACTGGAGTGAGAGATGAGGACCCGTGGACTCTGCTTTCTTAAAAATTGCTGTGACCAGCCCTAATGCGGCCTTGAATTAATAATGTGAAACACATGCTCCATCTGCCTGCTACAGGGTGACAAAGCCATTTATGTTCATAATGGCCACTATTATTCTACAGATGAAAATTTTTCTAAAGCTAGTCACACAGGCTAGTCAATCAGTTTCACCAAGGGGGAAAATTCCCCCTCAATCATTCCACTTAAGACCTCTTTGCCAAAACAGTCAGTTCACCACGGCATTAAGATATTGAAAGGGAAAACCAATGGAAAGTATAAACAGTTTTCCAAAGTTTTCCAACTTCTCACCTTTAATAAGGCAGACAAAGATTAGCACCAGCAGCGGAGTGGACAGGTACTGTGCCTTTTTACAAAGATCCAGGGAGGACCTTGTGGGTTTCAGAGACCAAACAAGTCCATTAAAAGTCTTCTTCTTTAAGAAAAAAATAAAATAAATTGGGCTGAAAAAGTACTGTTATCAGCAAAACGCTAAATCTCTCTTTCTTTTTTTTCTGGCTGGTAGAAGCAGAAAGATATCTCTTTGATATCAGAGCAAATAAAATTTGAGTTATTGACTGCTCATGTTAATGCTGAATTTTACAGCCATCATATTTCAAAATGAAATTATTCTAACATCTATACCTCAAATTAAGATCTGTGATAATATATATTGCAGTCCAGAGAATGTCTTGGATTCAGATGATGTAAAAGCTGATTCCCCCTGAGAATAAACACTGGCTGTTGTTTCTCATCGGCTAAAGATCTCCTGGTCCTCTCCAAATAAATCTGAGTACTGATGACATTAGGGAGTGCTGCCTGGTTATCAAAGCACATCTGGTGGTGGGGGCGGGGGGCAAGGCGATGCCACTCAATAGGCCAAGTGGTTGGTGTGTCTTTGAGGCAGAGCTGTCAAAACACAGCTTCCTCCTGTGATTTACAATAAAGAAAGGCCTGTAGGAGACTTAGCACATGGCACTCAAAACTTGATCTCTGCATACCCCTTACCCACCACCACCAGGCTGGAATCCTAGTTTCAAGTTTCTCTTTCCACCTTGCTCCTGTGAGTCCTACAATGTTGGGGCGGGGGCGGGGGGTGTAATTCACAGATTTTCACTTTCCATCTTTCCATGTCCATCTCTGTAGATACAGCCGGCAGCGACTTACCCAACGTGGACTAAGTCCTGAAATCCTCTACACTGCCCTTTCTACCTTCAACACATCACTCCATCAAGGTGTTCGGAAGGGAGGGGGCATGGGGGTGGGAAGCCAGGGCTAAGCCAGCCTGCCCCACCCAGCTCCTGCCAGCCTTCGCAATGGCTGTCCCCTACCCTGTGGCACTACTTCCTTCCTTGGAAGGAACATGTCTTCTCATTCCCAAAGCCTCTGTGTCACAGGGCTTCCCAACTCTCACCAGGCCACCAATCAGATGTTAATTAACATTGACCTGGGGCAGCCTCAGTCCAGGATTCCTTGCCTAAGGACCCCTGCAGATGTCCTCACAAGAGAATCGGTATAAAGATCGAATTCCATTTGAAGAATTACTTTTCATAATCCTTTTCACTTCTAAGGACAACAAAAGCAAATATTTATAAGAGCTCATTTGAATATATCTTCAGTTTCCGAGTACAAACTGAGAAATTAAAAAAAAAAAAAAAGTGAAATTTCGGCGGTTGCAAGAATGTCTTTCTCCCCTTGCCAAGTGATATTCATATAAACAACAGTATGCAAAAAGAAAAAAGAAATCTCCAAATGTGTTCTGATCCAATCTTTCATTTACTCTTACAATTCTTTAATGCTTGCATTTTAATTGTAGTTTCAGAGCCTTAAATTCTTCCAGTGGTGCTAAAAGACAAAAGAATTTAAAGCATTATTTAATACTAACTTGGAGCAAAAGAGAAGGACTTTGGGGCCGCTAGAAAGAAATTTCATATTATAACCACTCAAACTGCTCAAAGCATGCATGAAACAAAGCAAATTGTGTTGAATCTTTGACTAGCAAAGTGGGCTGTCATAAAATGTAAATACTTCCTAACTGGCATCTCTAGCTTTTTTTTGTTTTAATTTAAAAACTGGAGTGTAATTATCTCTTATTTACTAGAGTCACAAACACTGCCGAAGGGAAAATAAACCACTTCTTTTGGGATGAAGTTGCTGACAAAAGTTTGACAAAGAAAAATAATTAATAGCTGCATGTTGGCACGGGGTGAGCCTCCAGCTCAGCTAAGTGACCGTGAGAACGTGCCAGGCTTGGCCACCGTCTGGCCCTTGGATCCTGGGCCTGGCCAAGGGCAGGGTACATGGCTGGCTCTGAGGTCCACCACTGCTTCGAGATGGACTCAGGCTATTGTGCAGGACAGAGTCCAAGAGGTTTTTGAACACCCTTCTCAAGTCACCAATTTGTGCAGAAATTGCTTTGTGTTTTGGTTGTAAACTTTCTCCTATTTAAGAAAGCTGTCCATGGGCAATTAATGTCTTTCAGCTGGGGGTGAGTGTTCTCCAAGTTTGGATCTGGGCTCCTCTGTTTGGAATTCTTATGCTAAAAAACAGTTGCAAGATATCCTTCAGGGCAGAGAGCCACGATGTCAGCCTTCTGGAGCCTGCTTGGGGCACCTCACCTGACCACATTGCCTCTGAGCATTGGGACCTGCTAGAGGAGTGGGCAAGATTACATGAGGCTGGGTTGAAACCCTTGGAAGGAAGAATCTACCCCTTCAAATGTGTAGGTTTTGAGGCTATCCTAACTTTGCTTTTATTGATCACAAAATTCTAGTACTATCCCTCTGCATTCTAATTTGTGAATCATAAATGCTAGGAAGCTCATGGCCCTGAAAAGGTAAGATATTATTATGGAAAAAAAAAACAGGTTTACTTATCATGCTTATTCATTTCCCTTCCCCTGGCATGGGTATGTTTTATGACTGGTGACTATGTTATATCCTTTTTATTTTATTTTTTTAGTACTAAGGATGGAATCCAGGGTTACTTTACCACTGAGCTACATCCTCAGCCCTTTTTGTTTTTTGAGACAGAGTCTCACTATGTTGCTGAGGCTGGCCTTGAACTTGTGATCCTCCTGCCTCAGCTTCTCAAATTACTGAGATTACAGGTGTCACCATGCCTAGCTAAATCATATTCTTTTTATAGTATGTTTGGGTGACTGGAAAGAGTTCAGGTCCTGAAGCCAGAATCAGATTTGTGGCCTTGACAAGTCAGGTCAGCCTCAGTTTCTTCTCTATGAAAGGTAGATGATATCTTTGGAGGAGAACAGGCAGGGATTATGCAGGTCTAATTGCCCTTGTATGCCCAAAGGCAAATGCCTGGCACATGCAGATGCCTCCATCTCAATGCCTGGCATAGAGTAGGCATCCAATACACGAGAGCTATTGTTATTATTGCAACTAATAATATCAATGACAAAAACAAAACAATAAGTGCTATGGACTCCAGAGAGCAATTCCTAATTCACACTCCACTATTTCAAAATGGCTCAGCTATTTTTCCCTCTTCATAGAAAAAGCCCTGAGATTTTTGACTCCGACTTCTCAGTGGTGATCTTGGCTTTAGGAATATCCATTAAGGGTTTCTGATCCAAGGAGAACTATTAACCCTGAAGTAGAGGGAAACCAGGAAGTCCAAATGAAGTAAAGGTCTGCTCACACATACAAGGAGGTCATTCGCTCCTACAAATATTATTTCTTGGCTCTCTGTATCTTTTGTCCTTTTCTCTGTAGGCAGAGACCTTTGGGGTAAAGGACATTTGGGGCCCACACATGTTTGCAGAACAGGCTGGTACATCCTGTCCTTGCTACAGAGCCTAGCTCATCAGTGGCAAAACAGACCTCTCTTTTGACACACTTTCTTTTGAGGATTCTGCTGGACCAAGACTTGCTACTTGAGGCCACCCTGAGCCTGCCTCCTGGGCCAGCTGGTGAACTGCCTCCTGGAGCCCCCTGGCGGCCCTTCCCATAATCACATCATGTCCTCATACCCTTTGGGGCAGGGAGAAAACAACCTTGAACAACCCACTCAGCATCCTGAACCACTGTATACCCTATGTTCTAAGGATGAAAACAGTGTGGTTTGTGCTGAGACTGGCCATTGACCACACATCTCTCAAGTGCCTACTCTGTGCCAGGCGCACATGGCACAAGAAAGAGAGGAATATGATTCCACTTCTGTTCTCAAGAAGCTTCCAGCATACAGGAGGCAGCATACAGGAGACAGCATACAGGAGACTGAGAAGAACAGCACAAAGAGATGTGCCAAGGGAGCCCTGGGGACACTACCAGTCAGCTCAGGGACAGTGGGAAAGAAATCAGGGAGGAGGCAAAGGTTCAACTGGATCTTGGACTTCTCCTTGAGACTTGAAGCGAGCCAGGCAGAGAAAGAAAGGGAGACATCCCAGGGAGAGAAATCAATATGCTCCAAACTAGACTTATTAGGGGAAGGTCAGGGAGCTGGGGGAGCTCACGGTAGGCAAGCAGGAGAGAGGGGGCTGGTGACACCACAGGGGCTGGATGGAGGACCTTGTAGGCCACATCAGGGATCGTGGACTTGATCTTCTCCACTGGAGATTTTCCAAACCATACCTTAGGCTTCCTGTATATCTGTGATTCTAATTTCATGAATTCTGAGGCTAAGAGAAGACTGTAGCAGGCCATGCATAATCCACTGATTTCAAATTTCAGTGTTCAACTGTAGACTACCCGCGAAAGAACAACAAATTCCAAGGGAGGGGCTGCCTAAGAAGTACCTGACCAATCCTTATAAAAACCATCAAAGTCATCAAAAATAAGGAAAGTCTGAAAGTCTGTCACAGCCCAGAGAAGACTAAGAAGATATGATGATCTAAGGTACTGGATGGGATCCTGGAGCAGAGAAAAGGACCTATAAGGTAAAAACTAAGCAAATCTGAATAAAGTATGGACTTCAGTGAAGCTTAGGTAGCAGTGTTGACACCTTAATTATAACAAGTGTGCCATAGCAGTGTATGGTATTAATAACCAGGGGAACTGAGTGCCTGGTATATGGGAACTTTGTACTATCGCTACATGTTTTTTTTTGTAAATCTAAAATTGTTCTAAAAACAGAGTCACCTTAAATTTTTCTTTGTTTATTCACAGAGCCAAACTCTTATCACTCGTGGGCTTTGAGATAATTAAATGTTATAAACTAGAACTTAGAAAATTCATGTATCCTCTGGTAACATTAGCCACCATTGGCTGGGCAGCTCTGCAAGGCTAGGCCTTCATGTTACCTACAGCATTTACTTTGTGGCCCATGGACTAGGAACCCCATCCATTTGTTAGTCGATTTATCTGAGGTCATAAAAGGAAGGGGCAGAGCCTGGATTTGAGTGCCTCGGTCTGTGAGATGCAGAGTTCAGATGCTTAAAGATCACTCTGCACTTTTTTATTTTAATTTTTTTTTTGAAATTTTTACATGACAGTATAATACATTTTGAAATATTATACATACATAGAATAAGTAGAACTTGTTCCAATTAGGATCCACTTTTATTGCCTCCTGACTTTCTGTTTTACATACTAAGGTTCCATGTAAAATTGCATCAAAAAAGGAGGTTTTATGCTGATTTGATTTTATTTGTTTTAACATTTGAAGCCACAGCCATAGATGGGTTGGGGCGGGGTGGGGGTGGGGGGGCTGGTCCTTGGCAGTTTCCAGCACAGAGAGACGGGCTTGGGAGTGAGTATTCTGGCAACTGCAGTGTGAACCAGGGACTAGCGTGGGCAGGGCACTCGGCCCTGCTGCTGAGATTTTCTAGATGTGTCCAGAGGGAGGAGGAGAAGCAACCAGAGAGGATGAACTTCCCTAAAAGGATAAAGCAAAAGCCCTTGCGCAGGCCCCCATCAGATCCAGCCTCCACCAACCACAACACAGGTATTGCTGGGCCCCAAACGTGCACCTGGAATGGCCTCCACGGATAGGACCAGGCACTTAGTAAAGGGAAAGTAATGGCAGCGCAAGACAGAGTAGCTCTCCAGAACCCGCCGCCCCACACCTAGAAAGGCACCTCTTAGAGGGGTGCTTCCTGTGGGCTGGGGTGAGCAGGGGTGCTTCACAGAGGAGGCCTGGGGGTTATTCCCTGAAGACTGGAACAGGGCAGACAGAGGGACTTTAGGCAGAGTCCAGGCCATCAAGAGGCACATCCCACTCCTGCCCCAGAGTCCCTGTGTGTGGGCCACCCAGCCAGAGGGTTCAGTTTGATAGCCTGATCTCTCACAAGCTCTGTAGCCTCCTCTGACCTCCCAGGCCAGTTAGAAGCAGAACACATTTTACCCGTGTGATTGACAGGCTGTGGTGTGTTACCTGGAGGCACATTTAGAATGTGGCACCCTTAGGGCTACAGAAAACACCAGCAAGTCCCCAAAAGCAACTATGCCATCTTACATAGCCTAGCACCCAGGAGGCCCTGTGCAATGGACAGTGAACTAGAGAGGCTGAAAAATTCATGGGTCACAGGCCACCCTGGAATGTACTGGAATGTACTGAACTAGAGTTTAGAATGTCTGGTGCAGAAACCTTGTTTTCGTTTCCTATCGCTGCTGTAATAAATTACCACATACTTAGTGGCTTAAAACAACACGCACTTATTATTTCACAATTCTGGAGGTCAGAAGTCAAAATAGGTCTGACCAGACTAAGATCAAGATGTTGGCAGACGTGTTCCCTTCTATAAGACAGTTCCTTCCCTTGTCTTTTCCAGCTGCTAGTGGCTACCTGCATTGCTTGGTTGGCGGCCCCTTCCCCTATCTTCAAAGCCTGTCACTTGAACTTTCTTCCATGGTCCCATCTCCCTCAGGCCCTTTCTTCTGCCCTCTCTTCCCTTTTTAAGGACCCCGTGAGTGTACAGGTCTTCCTAGGTAATTCAGGATCATTTCCTTATTTTATGGTCAGACCACCAGCAACCTTAAGTCTATTTGCACATTTAGTTCCCCTTTGCCATGGAAGGTAACATATTCTTAGGCTCCAGGCCTTAGGACATGGACATATCTGGGCCCATTATTCAGCCTACAACAAGCACATTTTTTAAGGTAAAATACAGGAGGTAACCATTCTGTCTCCAAAATATGAAAGAAATAATTATCTCTTGCCAAGCACCTGCCGTGCATCATCCCTACGTACTGTATATACATTATCCTATCTAATATATTCAATACCAATGAGGCAAGCACTATTAACAGACCAGATCATGTCATTCACCTGCTAAAATCCCCTAATGGCCTTCCATGGGTCCTTGGGAAAATTCCTGAAAGTCCCTATAGTATCCAGTCTTGGCCCAACTCCCAGCAGATCTCCCACCAGCCTCTCCCCATGGACCTCCATGCTTCAGCCATGTGGGCCTCCTTGGGGTTCCTGGAACTTTCCTGTCTGTGTCTGCTAACCTCTGCTCTGGAACATTCATCTCTAAGATCTTCATATAGCTGGTCCCACCTCATTATTCAGATCTCAGTTCAAATGTCCGAACCTCAAGGAGGCGTCCCTTAGCCATCTCCTCTGAAGTCACCATCTCCCTCCCCATCAGGCCACTACTAGCTAAAATCCTAATAATTTGTTTTGCACTGCCCACCTCACCCATGAGACCAGAGACACAGTCCATCCTCTTCAAGGTATATCCCCAACTCCTAAAAATAGGGCTTAGTGTATAGCAGGCACTCAATGAATTTATTTCTTAAATGAACAAATCTAAACTGTGTAAATGGGGAAATGAAGTGATATGGTCATATTTATAGAGTTAATCAACAGGGATTCCAACACCAGATGGACTCTACACTCCAACCTCTTCACCAGAGAATATGGCTGAGAGATAAGGGATGTAAGCCTTGGTCCAGCCTTCCCATCAGTCCCTTGCTTAGTGGAGTGACAGAGCAGGCCCCAATCAATCAGCAGGACCACTCAGTAGGGTCAGCATGCTCCACCAGGAGGACTGGGAGAAAAGAGAGGGCATGGCCACTGCAGACCTGGCATTGGTAACCAAGGTGGGGAAACCTATCCAAAACATGGGCACCAGAGGCCAATGGCCCAGGGTTCACTCTGTGACAGGAAGGGCTGCACAGTGGGCACAATGGGGGCCACAGTAGTATCATTTAATAATTGGGGCTGGGCGGGGTGAGAGGGGTTGCGTGTGGTGACAACAGAAAAATGTCCAAGCAGAGGTGCAGACCCTAGCATTGGCAGGAGGTATGTGACAGGCAACCAGCAAAGGACGCATATTAGGAAGCAGAGGAAAGCAAAGTCACGGTAGGGCCAGGGTCTGGAAGCTGGGGAATTTATACGTCATCTTTAAAATAATGGGGAGTCATGGTAGGTTCTAGAGCAGGAGAAGAGCCTGTGTTTTAGGAAACAACACAGACTGGATGGCAGGAAGATCTCTTCCTTATCAGGCAGAGTAGGTGCCAAAAAGTCCTCCAACCTCAAAATACCTTCGCACCTCAAAGCCATCCGTCAGGCCTCTACTTCCTTGGGCTAAGCACTGCCTTTGTGCTAAGTCCTCAAGAGGGCTGCGCCCATCCCAAGGGCTCTGCAGGGGGAACCAAACCCTTCCCGGCCTCCAGTGCACCAGGCTGCTTCCCTCTGTGCTGGGGATCACTTGAGCAGCTGGGGACACCTGGGAGGGTGTAAGAAGAGACCAAGAGGAGAAAATATGGGATTGTGACATGTAACTGGAGCCAGCGTAACCCCCTCCTCCCCGCCCCCCAAGTCAGTGTTTACAGTTTCCTGGCCTCAGAAAACAGCTTGCAAAGTTGGCTGGAAAGAATTTCTTTACTGAGCATGTTTTAAATGAAATATTTTCAATCATCCCACCATGGTTTATCTTCTCTCTGCTACAACTCCAAAAAATAACAATGTCTAGTCCTGCGGCCTCTCCGGAGCACCCACTCTGCATTTGATACCTGAAGTACAAAATAATATTTTTACATTTTTCCTGACGACATCCAAGGTAGAATTGAGACTTCAGAAATGAGCATTTAAAAAAGAAGAGGGTTCCAGCCTCCTAAGGAATCGATCTTTCCATATTCTAGTTATCAGATATACACGTTTTAAACATCAGAATTTTGGGGTCCACTTTGCTTTTGTGGGGAAATTAAAAAGATGCTGTCCTGTTTTTCTCCAGGCAAACGCTGCAGGGCCATTATTTTAATGTGTGACTGAGGCCGTTGCATCATGGATTCCAGAGACTGAAAGCCCAACCAGGCTAACCACATGGAAGAACTCTCCAAATGTTCCCCACGGGGCCTCTGAAGAACCAAATATGGAGCATCGGCAAAGAGCCAGAATGCCAGCAGCAAGCAGGAGGCAACGATGACAAGGAACAACCCGGGAAGGCTTTGCCCCTTATCACCATATTCCTTCCAGCCTCTGCTGCAGATGAGAGAAACAAGATGCTGTGATCTAAATGTCCATGCCCACCCCCCACAATTCATTGTTAAAACCTCACCTCCAAGGTGGTGGCATGTAGAGGGGTGTCTAGGTCATGAGGGTGGAGCCCTCATGAGTGGGATTATGCCCTCACAAGAGACTCAAGAGAGATCCTTCCCACCTCACTCCAAGCAAGGACACAGCTAGATGGCACCATCTGAGGACATGGTCCCTTATCAAACACAATGGCTGCTGAGATCTTGATCTTGGACCACCCAGCCCCTCAAAACATAAAAAAAAATAATTTCTGGTGTTTATAAACCACCCAGTCTACGGCATTTTTGTTATAGTAGCCAGAACAGACTAAGATGCAGGAGAGGAAAGCAGAGAAGGAGTAAAAGCACACATCAGGCCACCGTCCAAGCGCCACCCCACTGCAGGTGCCTCAGACATGGGCAGGCTGAGTTGGGAGCAGGTGAGATCATGGAATTGGGTGGAAAAGTTTTTATTTCAGACTGGACTGGACCTTTTTACCTATAAGTGAGTTATAATGACCTAAACAAGGCAGTTCTTCTTGCTGGAGGGGACTGGAAAGTCGCAAGACCTGCCTAAGAGGTCACAGATGTTTTAAATTGTGCTGGGAAAAGAAAAACTAAAGTTTTCCCCAACTGAACATCTATAGAAGTCAGCCTATTCGATACATGTACTATAAAATAAAAATCAAACGAACAACAGACTATCATGGCTTGGCTATCAAATTAGCAAAGATGAAAAGCAAACTAATGCCCAGTTCTGATGAGAACGTAGGAGGATAAGTCTCTCTTTACTTCGAATAAAGCTATAAATTGGTGAGAATTTTCTTGGCCAGTACCTCAAACTTCAACATATTTACAAGTCACCTGGGGATCTTGCTAAAATGCAGACTCTGATTCAGTGAAGAATCTGCATTTCCCACAACATAGGTACAATTGATGGTATCAGTGTAAGGGTCACGCTTTGAGAAGCAACGTCCCAGAGAGAATTCAGCAATGTGTGCCAAAAGCTTAAAATCATCAGCTCTTCATACTTTTTGACCCAGAAATTCCATGCTAATGAGGAGTACATTCTAGGTGCCAATAAGGAATGCATAAAAAGAAGAGGCCTACAAAGATATTTATAATAATATTACATCTACAGTAAAGACCAGATATACCCTCCATATCTAACAACATTGGAAATTTCTAAGTAAGTCATGCTAAAGCCATTTAGTGAGACAGTACAGTCCTTTAAGTATCAAGCTCTCTTAGAATGTTTGGTCCTATGGGGAAAATGTTCATGACATGCAAAATTTAAAAAAAAAATCAAAATACAAAATTAGAGTATGAATAACATTGAAAAAGCTTGGGTCCTATAACTGAATACATGGTATGACTAATTCTGTTATTAAAATAGTACATGTATGAACAATGAAGGGGAAGGAAATATCCAACTATTAACAGTATAAGATTATGACTGATTTTAAAATTTGTCTTTGTATTTAAGGGTTTTTCTAAATTTTCCCAAGAAGAGTGTGTGACTTTTACAATCAGGGAAAACATACTTACAATGTGATTTGCATTCAGTGAAGCAACTTCAAGGTCCACTCAAAGGCATTTTGTGTGATTTTAGGCAACCTGGAGAGGAGAACCCCCTTCTTTACCATCTCACCTGCTCCCAACTCAGAAATCTTATTCTTGGCCTTTCCTCCAGCTGTGTCCCAGCTCTGCTTTCTTTTTCCTCCCTTTCTGCCCCCTGCCTCTTCCCTCTTCCCCAAAAGAAAAAGCCTCTTCTCTCAAATTAAAAACAGTTACATGGGCAAGGCAGCAACTTTTATTATCCCTGTTTTATAAATGAGGAAACTGAGGCTACTAAGGTTTAAGAGAACAGCACCAAGATCCCCAGCTGGTAGTTGACATAGCCCAAATTCCTTTCTTTGTAAACTGTAACACTAGACACATGTGATTTTCATTACTGTCCCCATATGGACCGTGGGAGAACCATGTCAATTACATTACAGGGTCTTCTCCCCAGCCTTCCACAGCCGCCTTCAATGACTGCAGACTGTGGGTCATTAAGCTCCAGGAAGGATGAGGACGGTTGGAATCAGGTGCCAGGTCCAAAGACGCTCAGGGCTGTGCCACGTGTCCAAAGCATACTGGCCGGGGCTCCTGATGACTCAAGCTCCACAGCTGGAAGTGAGCAAGGCCACCCACACTGCCACAAGTGGGGCCCAACTCAACGCTCTTTCCATTCTCAGCCTCTCCAGTCCCTACCTAAGTATTGGCACAAGGCCCTGGCTCGCTGCCACCCCCATGCCCACGAAGGACAGCCTCATTGCTAAAGATAGCAATGCCCACTGCTGGTCACTTCAAATTCTTGTGAATGCTGGATTGGCTCAAGCACCAAGGGCTTTCCCTCTTCCCTCCTCCTGGCCCTCCCAGACTGAGGTGTGTACTCTTGAGTCCCTTATAGGACTGGATCCCTTTCCTGGGGCCTTGGTACTCTCCTTCGTACTCTCAGGGACCTGGGCCCCTTTGAACCAGCATTCTTGCAACAAATGGGGTGATCTCCCCCAAATCATGAGCCCTTTACTCTCAAGCCCCCTGGAGCATCCTGTTGGAACCTGCCACCCTAAAACCCAATAGTAATGCAGGCCGCAGTAATATCCACTGTTTGTGAATGAATAGGCCACAAGACACTCCAGGCACACTACGAGGTGCTGGCAAGCTCCCTCTCCAACCAATTCCTGATGATAAAACAGGGCCATATTAAATGGTGAGCGAGCAGGGTAGCTGCGTGGGGTGCATGTTTATAAGAAACGCTAAAACACCCATGGGAAAAAACTGGAAACATGGCACCAGTTAACTCAAGGTTTCCACATACTGCTTCTTTCATAACTAATAAAATGTCTATAAATTGGTCCCACTTTTCCTGAAGAAGATAGTCTACTTGGTGAGAGGGGAGGATTAGTCCTCTTTGAAAGCTATTTCAGATGAATGTGTTTACACTGCCAAATGCTCAAGTTGTTAAGATATAACTAGAGGTCACACCACCAACTGAGAAATCAGGGCTGAATTTGAAATCAACAGGTCTGAGTCAGCTGACATTTTGCAACCAAACTAACCCTAGACAGCAGAACTGTTTACTGAGAACAAGTGATATATTAGAGTAGCTAAATTCTAACCCCTTTACTATATTTCCTAAGATGTTGCTTACTGTAGAAAAATCACATGAAATAAACACACATAATCCTAAAGAACCAGGCTTACTAGTCCAGTTAATATAAGTAGCAATTTCTTCCCATCGATAAATATGGAACTCATGTCTCAACTATTTGGTTGTATACTCTCTGGGTCCCACTGCATCAGAACCCAATTGCACAGTAGAGGTGCTCAGGGCCCTGGCTGGACACAGGGAGGTCTGAGGGGATCTGACTGTCATCGTGCAGAATCCTCTGAGAATCAGCTCCCCAGATGGTCATTTAGGTTCCCACTGCCCGCCAGGGGACTAACCAAGACCCCTGCTTGCTGTCCTGGTAAACTTGAATCCAAGGATTCCAGTCTGCTCATGGCAAAACCAGAAAAGCAAGAGGCTCTCCCTCTCCTCCTACTGTTATAGCAAATAGAAATGGTGAATGGAGGTGGACAGAACTGGGTGAAATAGAAGGCAGAGTAGAGCAGGGGCCTTCCAACAAGGCCTTGGAAGAAGAGAGGGAGGGAAAGGAAACAAAAAAGTGGACCTCCAAGCAGCCCCAAGCTGGCCTTTGTGGAGGCAGGCAGCTGAGGTATATGCTAGCGGGGCTGACGATCTGTGCTTTAGCTAAAGGTTTAATGGGCAGAGCTGACCAGGGTTATAGAAAGAAACTGCAAACAGCGTCCAGCTGTGCCAAGTATGTTACAGAGAAATTACCACAGGTTCAGAAAAAAAAACATATTTGAGTTTTGGGGACTGAGCTGAGGTCCAGGAAGGAGATTCAAAAACTTTGAATCACAAAATGAGAAAGGCGTCAGTGTGTGGTGTTGTCCCTGGACATGGCTGTGTGGAATGTCTCGGCTGGCAGAGCTGTCTTGATGTTGTACTGTAGCTAAAGGAAAAACTATTTTAAGAGCCATTAAAGACTGACCTGTAATCATGGTTTCCCAACCTGAATGCCCCCTAAAGATGGTGCTGGGCCATTGCACAGAGAGAAGAGTAGTTGCATTTCCAAAGCTACATGGCTGCAGTCAACCATTCCCCAAATTGAAAAAAACTATTTCAGAAATGTGAATGATAAGTAATTGCAAAATTTAATCCATTCAAACTGGCAAGTAATTCTTATAAAACAGACCCAAATCACATAAAAGAGAGGGAAAGGAAAAAAGGAGAAAAGGAGAGAAAAAAAATTTATGGCTGGAGAAATCACTGGAAATACTCAAGCAAAGTCCTAGACCTTACCACACTGTGGATACCCAGTATCTGGTGTGAATTCAGATGGGGTTTTCAAAAGGAGAAGACCATTGAAATCATTTTAGAGTAGGTCCTGATTCTGGCAGCAGAGAAAAAGGGAAGGACCTAGAGAGTGGAGGTAACATGCATCAATATGCACAGACCTTCTAGGCAGATTTACTTGGCCTACAATCTGAAGCAGTTTGAAATTGGTTCAAAGTAATAAATTTTTATTCTGGCACTCAACTGAGTTTGAAGCAGAAGACAGAAATGGTCCCATGCTCAGAAAATGTTTGACCTCACTGATCAAAGAAATTCAAATAAAAACTTTTTAAGGTTGTACCCATTAAACAATCTATAAGAATAAATGCAGGGCTCACCTTCCAGCTTAGAAAACTTACTAGCATGCATGAGACACTGGGTTTGATCCTCAGCCACATAAAATAAAGATATTGTGTCTACCTATAATTAATATATATATGCACATATATGTATGTGTGTGTGCATATATATATATATATATATATATATATATATATATATAAAAGAATAAATGCAGAAAGGGCTATTGTTAAAGAGGCACTGGGATAGACTACTAAGGGAATATCCTTCCTTTTAGAAAATAATTTGATAATATCTATTAAGAAATTTAAAAGGCTTCATAATGTGTGACCCAGTGATTCCATTCTATGAAATCTACCCTATCAAAATCAACTTAAATATGAAAAAATATTCCTATAAAAATAATACCACTTTATTTTTTAAAATATTTTTATTAGTTGTTGATGAACCTTTATTTTATTTATTTATATGCAGTGCTGAGAATCGAACCCAGTGCCTCACACATGCTAGGCAGGGGGTCTACCATTGAGCCATAACCCCAGCCCACCACTTTATTTTTAAAATAGCAAATAATTGGAACATCTCTCAGCCTCACTATTAAGGGAATGGTTGGTAATCTATGGTACGTCTTCCAGCTGGAATAGCATTATTCTATCCTAGTCAGTAAAAATATACTCAAGAATCATTCATAGTAACATTGTAATAAGAAATGTGGTGAGGAAAAAGAAATGTGTACACAGATAAAAATGACAAAAACAAAATATACAGGAAAAAATACTGGAAAGAAGTCAGCTGAAATGGTAACTGTCAAGTCAGCGTGACTTCGGGTATGACGTGCACACCAGCACCAGCCTGTGAATGGGGGGTATGTGTTCGTGACAAGAGAAGGCAAGTGTACTATAGTAAGCAGCTAGAAACTTCCAGCAATTTGACACTGCTTGACACCCAC